ATGCGGCCCCCCCCCCCCCCCCCAAGATCTGCGGACCACATGTTAAGAACCTATGATCTAGGGATTTAAACATTTACGGAGGACAATAACGTTGCATGTTCTTTCTTCCAATAGGAAAATAAAAGTGAAAATTTGTATGGATTTTCAGAATGATTTTCTGTGTGAACTTGCTCCTTGAATTCTTTGTATATAAAGGCAAAGCAATGTAATAAAAAACATTTTTAAAGAACTGTTGAAATATGCACTGTGTACGCCTGGTGTAGTTACAGGAGCATAGGAAGCTCTCTTATATGGAATCAGACCATTGATCCATTTAATTAGTAGTGCCATTTGACTTCTGATGTCCCTCCAGAGTATTAGGCAGAATTCTTTCCTAGCCTTACCTGGAGATCCTTGCTGCTCCCTGGTTGTCTCCCATCCAGATACTAACCAGGACTGACCCTGCTTAGGTCTTAAAACCAGATGAGACTGGGTGTGTTCAGGACAGAATGGTGGTCAATGCCTAGCCGCTTTCATGAAAGCACAGCTCCCCATTTACACTGGGGCTGTCTGCTCAATGCCACAGGAGGTGGGAATGGAGTTAAGGTGCCAAGGAATGGTCTTTTAACTAGAATATTAGGCTTGCATTTATGTAAATACTGTAAGAGGAGAGATTAACTGAAGTGTGGGAAATCTTAGGCCTGAAATGGCAAAGAAGAGCATACAAATGAGTGCCACTTCCCACAGGAAGAGAACCTAAAACTAAGCAACAGAAAAGAACACAAGAGTAAATATATATCTGGCCAGCAGTTAAAAAAAACCCCACCCCTCCACATAGTAATGGGAAAGTGTGGCCAGTTTTGAAATCTTGCTTTCCTCACCCACAATTCCCAGTCCAAATATATTTTTAGGATTCTAAGTCATTCGAATGACAGTTCAGAAAAACTAATTCTGGATATTCTCTCTTTGCTGTTATTTCATTTCATAAGCTGCTTTTTAACTTGAGTAGTAGATGGATTTTGTAGTTTAAGAGACTATTCAGAGAAACAGAAATGCCACTAATGATTCCTAGACTCTCTGTATCTGTGTGGCCACTTAGCTTTCTTGTAAGTTATCCTTTGTATGTTGGAGATAAGCTGTTAATAATTCATTATTGATTGACATTTTATTTATTTTATTTGATAGAACAAGGAATCAGAAACAAAGCAAGAGAATGACTCATGGAACTCTGTGAAGTCAATACTTGGTTTTTGCAAATAATAATAAACAGATTGCTGATAGGAAAATAAAAGCAGGAAACAAGGGGAAAACAAATGTTGTTGTAAAATTTGGCCTAAGACAAGGAAATAAAACAGAAGAATGACTTGTAGAAATCTGTGAAACCAACACTCTTTTTATTGCATATACATGTTTTGGGCATCCAAATGGACAACTGTACTCATGGGTATCAACAGATGGCCAATATAAAAATCAAACAGATTATGTAATAGGAAGCAGGAGATGGAGAATATGTATCCTCTCAGCCAAAATAAGAACAGAAGCAGACTCTGGTACTGAATGTGAATTGTTTTTGTCAAAAATTACAGTAAAGCTGAAATACAACATAAAAAGACTCATTGTATGTAAATATAATTTAAATAAAATTTCTAATGATTTAAAAGTGTACATAAAAATGGATTTACATTACTAAACTCATCTGATCATTAACCAGAAGAACTGTGGATTGAAACCAGAGATATTAGGGAAGAATGCAAAAAGACAATTCCTGTGGTAAAAAGAAAAGCCTAGATGGATGATGGAAGAAGAGCTTAAAATTGTTAAGAAGCAAAAATGGGGTCAGAACTCTGAATGCAACTTTTGAGTGATTATCGCTTAGAGACAAAGAGAAATATTATAATGACTAATACAAAGAAATAGAAATGATTACTACAAAGAAATAGAAGAGGACAACAAAGGAGAAAAAAAAAGTGATATCATCCAGAAGAAATCAAATTTAATGCTAGATTAGGAATTCTTAAAAGGCAACAGGAAACATATGAGTAGAAAAAAATAAAGAGAAGATGGAAACAATATACTGAAGAACTATTCAAAAGAGATAAAAGAGTGGTATATTCCTTTGAAGAGGACTTCCATAATGAGGAACCTGTAATTTTAAAAAATGAAACCTGCTTTGGAATAATTGGAAGAAATAAATCACCAGTGGAAGGAACACTGATAGAATTATTTCAGGCTGTACAGCCTGAATGTCAAAATCCTAACAAGAGTATGCCAACAAATATGGAAAACAAAATAGTGCCCCATAGACTGGAAAGATTCCAGTTGCCAAGAAAGGAGACACCATGGAGTGCAGTAACTGTAGAACCATTGTACTAATTTCCTATGCAAGCAAAGTGATGATCAGGGTGTTGCAACAAAAACTTTTATCCTATTTAAGAGTGAGAAATGACTGACATTCGAACTGGATTCTGAAAAATGAGGCACTTGAGATCATGTCACAGGTATATGCTGGCTACTGGAGTGTACCAAGGAACTGCAAAATATTTCTGTGCTTTATTTTTTGTTGTTTAGTCATTAAGTCGTGGCCAACTCTTCGTGACCTCATGGACCAGAGCAAGCCAGGCCCTCCTCTCTTCCACTACCTCTCGGAGTTGGGTCAAATTTATGTTGGTAGCTTCGATGACACTATCCATCCATCTCGTCCTCTCTCATCCCCTTCTCCTCTTGCCTTCACATTTTCCCAACATCAGGGTCTTTTCCAGAAAGTCTTCTCTTCTCATCAGATGGCCAAAGTACTGGAGCTTCAGCTTCAGGATCTGTCCTTCCAGTGAGCACTCAGGGTTGATTTCCTTCAGAATGGATAGGTTTGATCTCCTTGCAGTCCAGGGGACTCTCAAGAGTCTCCTCCAGCACTGCAATTTAAATGTATCAATTATTTGGCAGTCAGCCTTCTTTATGGTCCAGCTCTCACTTCCATACATCACTACTGGAAAAAACATAGCTTTGACTATGCAGACCTTTGTCAGCAAGGTGATGTCTCTGCTTTTTAAGATGCTGCCTAGGTTTGTCATCGCAAAACCTTTGGCTCCGTGGATCATGAGAAGCAGTGAATTGTTGGTGTGTGCCTCAACACTTGACTACAATGCTGTATAACTTGTATAGTGAACAAGAAGAAACAAAGTGGTTTCCCATAGACAAAGGTGTCTGACAATGATTAGCTCCAGATGAAAGAGGAGTGAAAATTGGTGGAAGAAATATCAGTACTTCTCAAAAATGCAGATGACACAATATTAGTGGCAGAAAGCAGTGATGTGTTGAAACAACTTCTGATGAAGATGAAAGAAGAAAGTGCAAAAGCAATACTGCAGTTGAACATTAGGACATAAACCATGATTGTGGAAATACTACATAACTTTAACATTGACAAGAAACTGAAATTGTTGAAGATTTGCAGACTTCAAATCGTTACTTTTGTTAAGGACAGGGCGTTTTGGAAATCACTTGTTCATAGGGTTGCCTTAAATTGGAGGTAACTTGACAGCATGTAACAACACCACACTGCACATGTATCCACACTCATTGTAAATGCAGTGTGCTTGTGTGCTTTTCTGGGGACTACTATCAAAGCATCAGTTTTGCAACTGCGTTGCCTCTGAAGCCATGGATGGACCAGCTGTGGTCTGCTGTGGTCTGCCAGATGTGACTAGCCTGCAGTTCCCATTCCTCTTCACCATTTGACTGTTACAGTTACAGTGGATAGCAATTACAATTTAAACAGTAAATCTAGTTTTCTACTTCCAAAATGTAACTAAAATACTTTAAATTACTTTTAAAATAACTTTGAAGGCGATACGTTGCTGGCCTGTTGTTCAACACACACTTATTCTTTGTCTTGATACCTACAGCCGGCCATCAGGCACTGTTGAGCTGTGTGACATTGTATAAATGCTGGGTTCATCCTCCATTTCATGGGGCCACACCCTTGTAAGAATAAACATGAATTTAGTAAAGTTAGTCACTGCAAATGGAGTAAAGTTATTCCTTATTAACCTATGGTTGTAATGCAACTTAATTGGAGGTTTCAGTGGTCAGGAGCAAGTGGCTTTCTTTTCCTCTCCCCCCCCCCCCCCGCAAGTGTCTTTCTTTTCCTCCCCCCCCCCCCGCAAGGCTGTGTATCTGGTCAAACGTGAGTGTACCACCACAGTAGACCTGCTTGTTGAACAGTTAATTTATATGCAGACTAATTCAAAGTAGCTTTTAAAGAAGTGAAAACGGTAATTTTTTCTGAGCACCGTAGGAGAAAGGGAAGAGTTTCTGTTTTCCATCGATAAGACTATATAGAGTGCAGGGAATGATGGGGGTGGTAATGTAAGTTCTCTTCTGAGTGGTATCTTATTCCTTATTCTCTTATTCTTATATCAGAGAATGTTAAAGGGGGAATGTGCAAGTATTTGGAATTTTTGGTTACTGTTTGTTGCCTGCCTGATGCGTTCTGGTTTTGCAATTTCATATTTGTAAGAGTAACCTAGTTCTAAATCTACAACTATCCCCCTCTACTTGGTTCCAGGAGGATGGTCAGATGATTGAAAAAGTGGATATAGACAGATTAACAGCCTTGGAAGGAAAACACGTGGAAGCAATTAAAAGATTGTGGGAAGACTCAGGAATCCAAGAATGCTACAAGAGGCGGAGAGAATATGAGTTGTCAGACTCTGCTAAATAGTAAGTATGATATCCCAGACTTCATGTTATTACCAGTGTTATTTTCAGCATCTGTGTAAGTTGATTTAATGTTGTATTCCTGTTGTTGCTGTTGTTTAGTCGTTAAGATGTGTCTGACTCTTTGTGACCCCATGGACCAGAGCCCGCCAGGCCCTCCTGTCTTCCACTGCCTCCCGGATTTGGGTCAAATTCATGTTGGTAGCTTCAGTGACACCATTCTCTGTCGTCCCCTTCTCTTTCCTTCACACTTTCCCAACATCAGGGTCTTTTCCAGGGAGTCTTCTCTTCTCATGAGAGTTCTATTCTATCAGGGGCTATTAACTGGGTTTAACTCTTGATTGGTTAAGCATAAGATGTCTGAAGTCTGTTTAACTAAGTTTAATAATTTATTATTATTATTTATTTTAACTATAACATACTGTAAATATAAAGATAAAATACATAAACCAAAATACAAATTATCTGTGTTCCCCACCACCATAGATGGGACCTCTTGCAATAATCCTCTTTTTCCTCCATCTATATTTTTATTGTCCTCTTCTCCAGAACTGCATTGATTCTTGATATGGAGCTTTCCCTTTTCCTCTTGTTAACACATATTCCAAAAATCTGCCCCATATATCATAAAAAATATTCTTTTTCATCTCTCCTTTCTTAACCTTTGAATTACAAGTTAACTTATCATTTATAGCTATGTTCCATATTTCATTATACCATTCTTCCATTCAAAATTCAGATTTTGATTGCCAATGCCTAGCTATTATTAATCTAGCTGCTGTTAATAAATTGGTAATTAATTCTTTAGTCATCTTATCATATTCCACATTCTCAAATATTGATAACAGCAATCTCAGGATTAAATTCTATATCTTTTTCACATGTCATTTAGTTCTTTAAAGATTAGTTTCCAAAATCGCTGTACTTTTTCACATTCCCACCATATGAAAGTATGTACCAATTTCCTTCTCACATTTCCAACAGACATTCAGATAACTAGCGTTAATTTTATTCAGTTTTGTTGGTGTTAAATACCATCTTAAACCAAATTTGAAATTTTTTTCTCTTATTCTGACATAAATCTTAAAACCCTAGTTTTCCACATCTTCCTCCATTCTTCATCATTTTTTCTTTTTCCTAAGTCTTGTTCCCACACTAACTTCAGTCCTTCTTTTTCACTCTCTTCTTCTTCTAAGTCAAGCAGGGAGCTATACATTTTACTCACTGCACCCTTTACTGAATCAGTCATTTGAATATCTTCATATGATAATAGAAATTGTTCATACTTTGTATATTCTCTACCTTTATTATATTTCTTTACCCATTCATTAGTCCATCTTTCTAAGTGCATATAATTCAACCATGAAATATTCTTATTCTGAAGGATTTGTTTCATTTGATCTTTCGATCTCATTTTATACAACCAGTCTTGTAATCTAATCACTTTTATTTCTTTAAATAATTCTGCATAAACTTTCATATTGACAGGAAAATTCTCTGTTTCAGTCACTAGTCATAATGGAGAAAGTGTAATAAATTTTACTAATTGTTTAAATGTTTTGAAATTTTGGATAAGTTGTAAACAAAATATGTAAGTGTCCAAGATCCTGTTGATGTTTGCATGAGGTCAACATAGCTTATTGTGGCTAGCTAATGAGCAAAATTTGGGAGCACCTGTCTGGTCTAGAGATGGGCACAAACCACCAGTTTGGCTCCCTACCTCTTCTGGAAGCAGCACCTGGAGGAGGCGGTGCAGGAAAGCCGAGGCACTGCTCCCGAGTGGGGATCAAGCCACAGAATATCTCTTCAGCCATTGGTCAAACTGACACAAACTGCTGAACTGGCTGTTCATGCCCATCTCTAGTCTGGTCACGTGCCTGATTTCAAGATGTGCCTTGCTATCTCATCAGGTAGCCACACAAATTATGTATACCTTGCATGAACACCAGTAGGATTCCAGCTAGTATTTATACACTCCTTCTTGGAACAGTATTCATCAAAAGCTATCTGAACTAATTGGGGCACACAACCACAAACACTAAGAACTACAGCTTTGGCTGTATGCTACTCTACAGGTGAATACACTAGTCTAGCATAATATAGTTAACCCAAGGCAAAAGGAGTAGATGTAGCAGTGAATGAAGGCTGTATCATCTTTACTGGGTGCCTGAAGCCAACCTCTATTGATAAAATCAGTTATCTAGCAGGCCTTGTACCCTATGTCCTCTAGAGAGAGGAAGCAGCTAATAAATAAAGGTCCAAAGCATCTAAATCAAACAGATATCCAGTCTTGGGTTACTGGCACACCCTGGAAGGGCATTCAGACTAAATGCCAGGAATTTTTTTTCTAGCACATATGTGAATCTTGAAGAAACAACAGAGAATGGCAGGTTATTATAATGTGGAAATTAAGAACTACCTTTCTCTTGAAGTGAGACTTCCAGAATCTCTGGAAGCAGGGTAGATAAAAATCAAAGATTTTTTAAGAGTTGACTTAAATCGCAATTTAAATCATAAAAATTGATTTTTAAATTGAAATCATGAAAAAAAAAAGATCTAGTTTTTAAAATGTGAGCCATGATTTAAGTCAAATGTGATTTAAATCAAATATGTCCTGCCTGGAAAGTTTAAGCTCTTGGTCACAATGGAAGTCACTTAATTGGCTACGGAGGATTCAGCAGAACCAGGACGAACCTAAGAAAATGGAGTTTTCACACCGATGCAGTTCTTTGAGAGCATGGAGAAGAATAGGCATCGTCACACCTATGTCAGTGTACTCTGTGCCCCTCAACATATACTATGGAAAGTTTGATGCTAACTGCTCCAAGTGCCCTTGGTGTTGCCCGATATTGGGCAAATACTATATGATTGATTGATTGATTGATTGATTCTTCCAGTCATGTTTTCTAAGCAAGTCTATATTTTATATCTTTCTATTTGCAAACCACTGTCTAACCTTATATTGCATTCTGTTAATTAAATCATGGTGCTATTGATACAAATAGATAAAGAAGAATATACAGTACATGGGATCAGGATATAAATATGATAGAGGCTTTTTTTACCCAATATATTTTTGCTAATTTTTCAGACATGCAGTTACATAATAATCGGTATATATGTACAGTATATTCATGCATTTAATCATTTAGTGGTATTTGGTTTTGCAGTTACCTATCGTGTTTAGACCGCATTGCTGCGCCATCATTTGTGCCAACTGAACAAGATATTCTCAGAGTGAGAGTACCAACCACCGGAATAATTGAATATCCCTTTGAACTACAAGATATCATTTTTAGGTAAGTTTGGCTGTGTGTAAAGTAGCTTGCAGTAGGTAGATTGGTAGTGGATCACTGGATATAGCAGTATCCAGTGCATGGCTCCTTCATTTTTCAGTGCCCCTTTTTGGTTGCAGGTATTGGCACCTTATGCAGTCTGTCCAGCACAGGGCAACGTCACACTCTCTATTTGTACAGACAGTGAGGAAGGTATACAGATGGGTTTTCGGCAGCCCTGCTCAGTCCATTCTGCCATGTTATTCTGTGCCTGCTCCTCACCCATTTGAATTCTGCAAAATGCTTTTAGATACCACCCTTTTATTGTATGTGGCATTAGTCGTTTCTGGCACACCCTTCCTGTTATAAGCCTCTGAGGTATAGCAGTTCTTTCTTTTCCTTGGATGCATCTATTAGCTGGCATGACTCAGAATTGGTACATAAAACTGCAGTCGCATTTCCATTGATGGTGTCTTTAATTTGCATAAACACCACAACTTGCAGGAATGCATAGGAAATTGTTATTGTTCAAAACGTACTTAAAAAAATCAATGGAACAGGAATATGGAAACACAGTGGGCATGTGCCTCCTTAACAGGGGCTAGACCAGATGATCTATAGGGTGCCTTTCAGCTCTGCAGTTCCTGGACTATTACTGTTTGAACTTTCCTTTATTCATGAAGGGGCTCAAACATCCAGTAGTAAATTCAGTAGCAGCCATCATCATGTAAATTATGAGAAAAGAATTGCAAGGGAGAAGAATGTTTATTTTGCACAGGTGTCACATGGCATGTAAATGAAAGGTAAACATGACAGTATATGGGAGCTGCTGTGCTGTGGAAGCTTCAGGAGGTCCAGAATGCAGCGGCTAAATTGATTGCTGGGCTGAGGAAATTTGCTCGTATCGCCCCCCCCCCGGCCCTGATCTGCCTACACTGGTCAGTCCACTTTCACGCCAGGTTCAAGGTTCTGATACTAACATCGTTGTTGTTGTTGTTTAGTCGTTCAGTTGTGTCCGACTCTCATGACCCCATGGACCACAGCACGGCAGGCCCTCCTATCTTCCACTGCCTCACGGAGTTGTGTCAAATTCATATTGGTTGCTTTGATGACATTGTCCAACCATCTCATCCTCTGTTGTCCCCTTCTCCTCTTGCCTTCACACTTTCCTAATATCAAGGTCTTTTCCAAGGATTCTTCTCTTCTCATGAGATGGCCAAAGTACTGGAGCCTCAGCTTCAGGATCTGTCCTTCCAGTGAGCACTCAGGGTTGATTTCCTTTAGAATGAATAGGTTTGTTCTCCTTGCAGTCCAGGGGACTCTCAAGAGCCGCCTTCAGCACCATAATTCAAAGGCATCAATTCTTCGGCGGTCAGCTTTCTTTATGGTCCAGCTCTCACTTCCATACG